AGTCCATCTCGCTGAGGGTCTTCCTCTTTTTTGCCGACCCTCTACTTTACCAAGCATGATGTCCTTTTCCAGGGACTGATCCCTCCTAATAACATGTCCAAAGTATGTGAGACATAGTCTTGCCATCCTTGCTTCTAAGGAGCATTCTGGTTGTACTTCTTCCAGGACATTTGGTTAGAGGCTGAGCGCTTAACCGTTGTGCCACCAGGGCTCCTTCGTTATGACTTAAACCCAAACCAAACCCATTGCCATCGAGTCAATTCCAACTCACAGTGACCCTATAGCTATGCTTTATTAGGGACATAATCTCCAAGAGCCATCAGGCCTCTGTGGGACCAGAAACGGATGGGGGAAGAAATCCAGATTAGGGGGTGGCTTCCCCTCTTCCACTCGGGGCCTGCAGACAGACAGCAGGGCACAGGGCCCCACCATTCAACCAGCGCAGGGCCAGGGAGGATGAGTGAGTCATGGACTTTGCTCTCAAGGAGTCTGGGACCAGCCCAAGGATAAGATAAGCTCGAAGAGCACTGGGAGCCTGCAAGGAATGAGATAAGGATGGTGGGAGAGGCCCACGGAGCCACGCGCTTGGAGCGGGGGGCGGCTAGATCCTGCAGGGTCAAGGGGCGGGCGGGCTCAGGGAGGGGCGCCTGAGCTGGGCCTCAACAAAGGAACGTGGGGCCCTGAGGACCCAGAGCAGCCAGGATGGTGAGAAAAGCTTCACTGGGGCTGGGCAAGGACAGTGTCATAGGGGCCGGAGCAGGGAGCTGGATGCTTGTGGGCCACATAGGGTTCCTCAGAGAGAGAAGGTCCAACTTGTTGTGTGACTTTAGCAAGACGCTCCCCCTCTCTGAGCCAGGTCCTCGTCTCCCACACGGGCTCCTGACACTGACCTTGCAAGCTGTCGAGAGGCTTGGCGGCAATGTATGTGGGTGCCGGTGCACAGAAAGGGCAGTCCTGTTAGTAAGTAATTCAGACTTTATTCCTGAGTCTGTGTTTACGATTTTTGTTTTAGCAGCAAAAATGTTTTTATTCAAACGAAAGTTTTCCCAGAAGCCCATTGCATAAAAGACAGGCACAAGTGAGGCTGCTGAGGAAGGTTGGTGGGGTGTGGGTCACAGTCTTGTCCACTAGGCTGCCCCCACCATCAGAGATGGCCCTGGGGCTCCCTTGAGAATCCTGGGGGCTGAGGGACCCACTCCACCACAAGTGGGCCAGCAGAGCCCCAGGGACAGAGAAGGGAGAGCAGAAGGGGAGGCTGGATCCGGGTCCCTGTCCTGTGGGGCTTCAGCACGAAGCCTGGGACCCAGAGCACAGCCCCCTCAGCCACACTGAACACTGGTGGGAGCTGTCCCGGGGTGCCAGAAGGAGCCTTCAGGATCCATTCAACAGACATTTATCAAGCACATACCTGGGCTTGGCCTGGGCTGGGGGCTCTGGGGGTCAGGAGGACAGAGATACCAGCAGCAGCAGTGATGCTGGAGAGTGCAGTGCTCAAGGGGACCCGGGCTGCTGGAGTACCCACAAGGGCACTTAGGGTCAAGCGGGCTTCAAGCAGGCTTCCTGGAGGTGGCAATGCTTGGGCAGAGTTTGGAAAGGTTAGTAAGGGTGAGCCTGGCAAAAAAGCAGGGAAGGGTGTTTCACACAGAGGGAACAGCATGGGCAAAGCACAGAGGCATGCTACCAACCACAGCATTTGAGTCTCACAGGAGGGGAGATGGAAAAGTGGGAAAAAGACAGGAAGGAGTTCAGGCCTTGGGTGCTGCCCTGGGGCATCGAGGTCTGGGCAGCCTGCTGTGCACCCCTGTCCCTGCCCCTGTCCCCACAGGTCCTGGCGGCTGGCATTGAGGCGAACATACCTGTGACCTATGGAATTGGCAGCCAGAGGGGAGCCGAGGGCACTGGCTGTCAATTCATAGGTCAGAGCCCTGTGCACTCGGTCTTGGCAGCCCGCCGATAGCCCGCCACCCTTTGCCATCCTGGGTCTCAAGCAGGGCCGAGGAGGGGCCCTGCGGTCTGCAGATGGCGGCTGCCTCTCCTCCTCCATAGGTCCTGGCCCCCGCCCCAGATAACAGCAGCCCCACTGGAACCAGTGAGCACTTCCACATGGAGTTGCTGTTACAGGGGGTGGGAGCCCACTGGAAGCCTGGGCCCTGCCCACCTGGCCTCTCCCCTTGGGTTGGGGTCCGGGGAGCACCCCACGCTTGCCCACCTAAGCCTTCGGGTCCTCGTGGCCCCAGGCCTACGGTCTTTTTATTGAGGCACCTTATCATCTGGGGCCCACACCTGGTGCCCCATCTGACGCCAACACTCCTTCCCTGGGCGAAGTCCAGGCTCAGCCCCAAATCTGCCCCATAAAGCCGGGAGCGGCTGGGATTTACAACTCCCGGCAGCCTTTGCGCGCTCTGCGGCCCCCACACCCTCTGCCCCACACTCCCTCATTTCCTTGTTTCTTTCCCAAACAGAGCTGGGCCCACAGTTTCAGGTTTGACCTCCACCCTCTGCCCTTTGCCCACCCTCCCTGCTGCAGCCATGGGGTAGAGGTTACAACCGCCCAGCAGCATCTGTCAGCCTGTAGAGGTCTCGGAATGTCGAATTTCATGATGGCCCCACCGGCGTCCGAGAAGCTGCAGAGGAGACTGAGGGGAAGGAGAGGGAGGGGACAGAGAAAGAGGGACAGTGTGGGGTGAGGGGAGAGAACAGACAGGAACAGAAAACAAGGCGCAGAGAGGTGGTAAGGGAGAAACAGGTGCTTCCCATGGTGCCGAGGCTGATGGCAAACCTGTCCGCTGAATCCTAACCCAGGGCTGCAAGCAACCTACTCATCTGGAGGAGCACTTAGTGCTGCAGTGGCCTGAGAGCCAGCAGCAGCCTGGGAGCTGGGTGACCTTCAGCAAATAGCTTAACCTGTCTGAGCCACCACTGGTTACTCATGTAAATCAGGGTTTGTGAGGCTGGAACTGTCCTCCCTTCAACCCTCAGGCCTAGCTGGTCACTGAGGGGCCCAGGCCCTGGGGACCAGACCTCTCTCCTGCAAAGTGTGTCTTCATCCCCAGACCGGCTTCAGTGATAGGCCAAGCGCCAGTCCTGCCCCAGGCCCAGAGGGCACTTCGGGGACCCCAGAGCTCCTTTCCCAGCAGTGGAAACAGGCGCAGAGAGAAAAAGGAGGCCACCCAAGGTCACAGAGCAGGGCCTCGGGGTCTGAGCGGCCCTGACAGCCTCCCTCAGTGGCATCTCTCTTGGGATGCGGTCAGGTGGGATGGGGGATCCCCGACTGCGAATGAAGCCACCAAAGCTGGTGAACACCCCTACCCTGCAAGCCCAGCAGCCCCTCCCACTTCGGCCAGGACGAGACCTGTCTGGGGTCTGAATGCCCCCCACCGCCTGGCAAGAGGCAGTGGCAGGGGTGCTGCCGGCCAATCAGCTCCTTAGAGCTGGCAGCTTGGGCTGCACTCAGCCCACGGCCCACAGGTCAAAACTGAGGCCCAGAGTGGGAAGGGGCTTGCCCGGGGTCACCAACGGTTGCCTTCCCCTCTTGTTCAGAGGCTGGTGCCCCTGCGGAAGGAATGGTGGCTAGGGGCCCCAGGCTCTGGAGTGTCCCGGGCAGAGAGGGCTGCAGGGGCTGGCCGGGAAGGCTCTTACCTGGTGCCTGGCTGGCCCTTGGGGCACGAGCAGGAAGTGGGCCACCCTGGGCCCAGCGCCTTTTGAGCCGTTGGCCTGGCCCCTGGTGGCGGTTAATGATTACCCCGCCGCCATCAATACCGACCACAAGCGCGGTCGAAGGGCAGGAACCCTGGACTGTGCCCGGCAGGGTGGGGCGGCTTCCAGGAAGCATCTGCCGGGCCCCATCTCCAGTCCACAGCCTTGGCTCCCTCTGAGCCTCCCCCACAACCTCCCACTTGGCTGAGGTGGCACTGGTAGCAAGGACCCCAGGGTCCACCCTGGACAGAACTTCTACCCTGTTCACTTGGTGCCAGATCCCCCCTACTGAGGGGGGGCAGAGGTCCCCAAGGGGGGTGGGGGTGGGGGACTCTGCTAACCCGAGAGGTCTGCAGAAGACCCAGCACGGCCAGGGTTCAGCTCTTGACTCTTGGGTGACTCAGTCTGAGCCTCAGTTTCCCCACCCATCCACCCCCCTCAATGCGGTGCTTCTGGGATGGGGGGTGGGGAGGGTGTGACCGGAGCACCTTGTCCATAAGAACCAGGTGTGTGTGTGGGGAGGGGGCGGTGGGGGGGGTGCAGGCAATGGACATCTTGATTGTACATTTCCCTTCAAGGGCAGCTGCCAGGTCCCCTTCCAACTGCAAGGACAGTACTGTCTCCCTCCCACCTCCAATGGCCCAGAGCTGGCACCCCAGGGCAGAGTGGGAGCTGAGGGTCAGGGGCACCAGCCACCCCAAAAGCCTTCTGCTAGAGATGGGGAGCAGCCTCCCAGGAGCTGCCTGAGTAACTCCCTGGTCACTGGTCAGCGGGGCAGGGCCACCAACAGGCCTGAGGCTCAGAGATCAGGCTCACATGGCCAGGGCCTGAGCCTCCCTGGGGCACCCCACAGATCAGCATCCCCTCAGCACCCCAGGCAAGGCTGGACCCTGGGGGCTGACAGGAGTGTGGGCTGAGTGAGGTGGGTGCCAAGGGCCAGTCTTCCCCCCGCCCCGGTTCACTTGGGTCTGGCAACACTGGAAGTGGGCCAGGGCGGCCGCACCCTCGGAGAGCACGGAAGAGCCCAGGGCAGCCCCGGAAAGGGGCCCACCCTGCCCTGCCCTGCCGGGTGAACCGGAAGGGTGTGGCGCCCCCTGGTGGTGAGATAGGAAGTGGGCATGAAGACGCGGAGACTGGGTGGGAGTCAGGCTGAAGCTGGGCAGACGGGCCCACGCAGGTTCACAGGACAAGGGGCTGGTGGTGGGCACAGTTTATTCCACTTCATGCAGACACAGTGACCCACCCGCTCAAGAGGCTTAAAAATAATACACCGAACCACACTGTGTCTGTCCCTCACCTCCCCCCAAGACACAAAAAGACACTTGGCTGCGTGGGGTCGGGTCCGAGAGTCCGAGGGTCCGAGAGCCTCTGTCTGGGGACAAAGCAGCAGTGTGGGCCCAGGTGGCGGTGAGAGGTGTGTCCTTTCTCCCCCACAGGAAAAGTGCAGAGATGGGGCCTGGGCCCCAGGGCAGGGAGGCCCCGCCTCACAGCGATTGGCACCGGGCATGCCAGGCAGAGGTGTCCTTCTGGTGGCCATCCCCTGAAGGGCCAGCCCAGCTGTGGCCTCAGTTCTCAGGAGGCACGGGAGCTGGCAGCACCCCCAGGGCTAGCGGGTGTGCTGGCCAGGGTTGGGGTAGGCAGTGCCCCGTGCTCAGTCTTGGGTCTCCTCGGAGCGCCACTTAAGAGCGTGGTCCTTGTGGGCGTCGGGGAGGATCTGGTTACGCATGCCCCCAAGCAGGTTAGACGTGGCCTCTGTGGCCAGGATGAGCGGCTTCACCACTGTTGGGGGCAGCTGGCGGATCACGCCTCCCACAGCGCCCGTCAGCCCCTTCTGCTCGTGGCCCCGTGACGCCACATCACAGATGGTCTGAGCCGTGTCCAGGATGCCCTGTGGGGGTTAGAGGTCAGTGTTGGGTCTCAGTGAGGGGGTGGGGGAGAAGTTGGGGGCGGGGGCAGGCGCCAGGCCTCGTTACCTCTCGAACCGTGTCGTAGGCCTTGGCCACACCCTCCCGGAGGTCAGCGGGCTGCTGGCCCCTGCGCAGCCTTCGTGCAGAGCGCTTGTCCTGCAGGGAGCGTGAGATAGGTGCCGCGGGGGACAGGATGTCGTACACTGTCTCAGCTGTGGCCTAGGGGGGCACAGGGAGCACCAGGTGAGGGGAACCAGCCCTGGCAGCCACGTTGGCCTCTGGGCCCCACATCAGCCTTGGGGCATGGGGCTGGACCCTGGCCAGTCTCTCAACCTCATCCAGAACCATCCATAGCTGTGCCGTCCCTGGAGACCCTGCTCAGCCTTCCCCATGCTCCTGCCACTCGTCCTCCCCTTCCAAGGCTCCACCCCTCGAGTCAGAGATTCCAGGTGGACTAGGACTCCTGAGGGGATTTTTCGGAATCACGTGCAAAGGAACACGGGTTAAGAAAAAGGCTCAGAAAGCATTAGAGGCTGGAGCTTCCTGGAATTCTTCCCAGAGCCAGGACCCCTCCTCCTCCTGAGTACCCCATCCACGTCCCCCCATGCAGGTTCACACAGTGCCTTGTGGGGGCCACAATGCAGCTTGCCTGAGCCTGACCACGTGGCTGCCTGACCCGCTCCTCACCCGGCTCCAGGGGCAGCCCCAGCAGATACCTGGGATCCCCCACTCACCCCAGGCATCGTCCTGTGCTCGTCTGTCCTCCCTGCACCCACACCATCCACCAGCCTCCCACACGGCTGGAGCTGGCCAGGACCCTCCTACACCCCAGCTTTACACACTCGGGGGCCTTTGGTGCCTGTTCATCCCTCTACCTCTTCTCTGGTGACCCTGCACCCCACCCCTCATGCTGAATTGCAGATCCTAGAATGCACGGTGCCCTCTCTCCGCTGGCCTGCACCCTTATCCCCTACCTGCTATGAACACCCAGCAAACGCATGTCCATCCTTTGGGACTTAGCGTAGGGTCCCCTCCCTGAGCGCCCCCCACCCCACAATGCACCACCTCTCCAATGGCACTCATCACCCAGAACTATAGCTGCTCTCACGACTGGGTCTCCGACAACACCCTGGGGACCACTCTGGGCCTGAAGGAATCAGGGTCAGTCTCAGGGCCTCAGTTTCTTTCTTTGCAGAGTCACCCAAAGCCCCAGCTATGAGCAGGGAGCCACGTGGGCTCTAAAGGCCCGGAGGGAAGCGGCACCGGTGCTCACCCTCCGGCACTGGGGGCCACGTGGACCTCAGGAGCCTGGACCCTGCAGGCTCAGTCCTGGCCCAGCTCTGGGACACACACAGGCCGCCTGTTCTCTCCCCTCCATGACTGTTTCTCGGTCAAATGAGGTCTGGACTGCCCCCTCTCAGCAGAGCTTTGCGGACGGGCTGGCGGGCTGTGGAGCATGGGGATCCGGGCCCTGGCACGCGCTCACCTGGATGGCCTGCACCAGGCGGTTGCTAAGTTCCAGGGCGGCGGAGGCGGTGGATGAGCCGAAAGAGGCGGCCCCTCGCTGCAACCCCCGAATGAGGCGCCCGTCCTTCCGGTACTGCTCAATGGGCAGCCACAGCAGGTCCCGGAAGCCTTGGACTAGTGGGGAGAGGCCTGTCAGAGATGCCCGAGGCTGCCCTGCCCACCGACCCTGCCTCAGGATCCCCTGCCTCCTCCCCACAACAGCTTCTAGGCCACCTGAGAGCAGCGGCAGTTTCCAGAGCACCGACACGACACTCACAGAGCTGGACGACCGAGTGCATGGGGCCCACGCCCCCCAGCAGGCCAGGGAGCTGGTTTTTGCGAATGTCCTGCAGCCACTCATGGAGGGCGTAGCCCAGCACCTTGTCCACGCCCAGGAGCCTGGAGGGAAGGGCGAAGCAGGAGAGCCAGCAAGGGAGTCAGGGGCAGGAGGGCTGACTACCCACTGTGTGGCCCTGGGGCAAGTGCCATGGGCCCCCCTGAACCCCCACAGCCCCACCCAGCGCCAGGCAGAGGGATGATGGTGCTCATCTTACAGAGAACTGAGGCCCCACAACCCCACAAGGGTGGTGACTTGGCCGAGGTCACACAGCCAGTCAGCAACAGCACAAAGGGTGGACTGGGGACCCTGAGGAGAGGCTGGGCTGCCAGGGGTAGGGGCTCACCCGTGCCGGCAGCAGAGCCGCTTCAGCTTCAGCTCGGAGCAGTTGAGCTGGGCCAGGCCGATGAGGAGGCCGGCAAATGTGCCCTGGGGAAGGAGGGGCCAGGCTGGCGTCACGGGGAGCCACTGGAGGCAGGCTCAGCGGCCGACAGTGCTTGGACGCAAGTCCTGGCCCAGAGCCCTGCCATACCTGGACAGAACCGGCCCCCCCCAGGGCCTTCCAGGGTCCCCTGAGAGGGCCTGGCCCACACAGCCATCCTGCCTAGTGGCCCCACTCACCACCTGGTCCATGGTGACATGCTTGCCGTGGTAATCCAGCCAAATGGGCACCTCGGACGTGAAGCGGAACTCCCTGGTGGGACGGTGCGGGAGAGGGTTCCTTGTCACCAACACAGCCTCCCACCACCCAGCACGGCCCCTCGGCCCTCAGCACGGCCTCCCGCCGCCCAGCACGGCCCCCTGGCCCTCAGCCCTACCTGAAGTAGATGGGCTGCTGCTCCAAGGAGGAGGCCCTGCAGCCACCGCCTGAGGTCTCCTGTGGGCCAGTTGTCTCTGTGCCCTTGGGTTGCCCTTCCTGGAGGCTGCTGGGCTGGACGTGGGCCTCGGGGTGAGCTGGGGGGAGGTCACAGACCAGGGATGGGTGGGGACCCAGGCTGGGCGGGAGGCGGGAGGCGGGAGGCCTGGGCCCTCCCCTCCCTGGCCCAGCCTCTCACCCTCAGCCAAGGTCTCTGCCGGGATTATGGGGTTGATGCCGGCAGCCAGGCTGGTGAAAAAGTCCTTCAGGAAAAAGAGGGCATCCTGCAGAGGAGGGTGTGGTGATGTGTCAGGCTTGGGCCTGGAGACAGGGTCCCCTTGGGCTGCCCGTACCTGTCCGCTGAGCCCACACCAAACCACTCACCTGGTCCACATTGAGCCGCAGGGGCATCAGGGAGACACGGAGGCAGCACTCGGGGCCCCCCAGGCTGGTCGTGGGGGCCATGTGCAGCGCTTTGATGGTGAGCTGGGGCAGAGGGCAAGCTCTGGGTGTCTGCTAGCCTCCTGGGTCCCCTTCTGGCCCTACTCTCCCAGTGTGGCCCGCCCCGGCCACCCTCCTCCCAGACCAGGCCCAGGATGACCAGTCCCGCCCAGCCAGAAGCTGCCCAGGTGCGTGTGTGATGCGACCCTTGCCCCTCCTGAGCCCACGAGGACAGACCAGTTCGCCATACCATGTTAGAGTGGGCGCGCCGTGGCATACGCTCGCTTGTGTGCAGGTAGAGGAACTTGTTGATTTGGGAGGAGGCCAGGCGGTCGCGCACCTCGAGCTCCTGCACAATGAACACCTGGCGGGACAGTGGCTGCTCCTCCAGCTCCAGGCCGGGGGCTATGGGGCCTTGCGGGGGCTCCACTGGATACACCTCGTGCTGGAAGCTCACCTTGGGGGATACGAAGGCCTGAGCCAGGGTGGCTGGGCCCAGTGGGGACGCGGGGGAGAGGGGCCCCGGGGGTAGCCTCGGACACTTTTCCTATGCACATCCCCCTCTGAGACCCCACCACTGCCTGGGCACCCTCAGCCACACCTAGCTGCCCCAGAACATCCCCACAGGCATCTCCAATGCTGCCCGGCCCCACAGAACTCAACCTCCTGTGGGTAGGTGAGCCTACCTGGCCCCATTCCCACAGCTGTCCCATCTGCAGGGGGCAGCCTGTCCACCCACTACCCTGAGAACAAACGTTGCTTGCTCCCTCGCCCTCCCACCACTCCAACCCACGTCCACCACCTCTGCTTTCTCAAAATCTCTCTCGAACTCCTCCACGCTTCTTCCACCCCTCCTCTCCCCAACTCGCCCCTGCCTATCCCTTCCAACCCGCTCCCCACACTCCAGAGTGTTTGTCAAACGTGAGCCCACCCACCACATGCCCTGTTCAGAGCCCCCATGGCTTCCGTGAGAACCCCAAACCCCACGCGGCCACTCAGGGCCTGGCCTCTCCCTCCAGACCCATCCTCTGCCCCGAGTTCTGGACACGCTGCCACACGGGCCCTTGAACAAGTGAAGCCCTTTCTCTAGGTCTCTGCCCTGTGGCTCCCTCTCCTTAGGGACAATTCCCTCTTCTCCTCCATGGCTGGCTCCCTCCCGAGTTTTCTCTCATATTGTGTGGGGCCCAAAGGGCACGAACTGTAGCTCCCAACAGCTGGATTCTGTCACCTGCCTCCCGGGAGGCAGACAAACCTGAGCCCAGCACCGGGCAGGGATGGCTGCCAACAGGTGGCCCCACCTGCTCATTTCTCAGGTGGACACCTCGGTGTCATCCTGGGCCGCTCTCCCCATCTCATACACACAGTGCTTCCCACCATCACAGTCTCTCCAGACCCTGACCGTTCCCCTGCTCTGTGGCCACTGCCCTGCTCAGCCACACCAGCCCTCGGCCCTGAAGCAGCCAGAGGGATCCTGGGAGAACCCAAGTCAGATCACGTCTCGCCTCTCATCTCCTCAGAACTCTCCAGGGCTCCCATGTCACTCGAGTAAAAGCCAAAATCGTGTCTGTGGTCTGCAGGGCCCCGCCCAGCCCGGCGCACCGCACCCCTCGCCCCCTCCAGGCTGCCCTCTCACTCAGCTCCAGCCCTGCAGGCTCCTTGCTGTTCCTGAGCCAGGAATGCTCCCAGCTCGCAGCCTACCTCTTCCCTCTGTGGGAAAACTCTCCCCGTCTCGCTTCCTCAGGTCCTTGCTCCAATGGCACCTTTTCCAGGTCTCCCCAGCCCTCCGTGGGCCCACCGTTGCCCTCTCTCTGCTTTCCTTCCCTTCATGCATTTGTCACTACTGGGTGTAGTAGACAGATCTCATTTATGCTTCTGTTCGCCTGTTCTCCCAACTCTGCCACTAGCAACACGCAGGCCTGGTGCGTGGGGTACCAGAAGCTCACCAAACATGCGCTGACTTAGCAAACTGATACAAACTTGCTGAGATGGAAAGAGAGCCCTGTGGCTTCCCTGTCCCTGTCCCCACCTCAGCTGGCCCTGCACCCCGCTCACCTTGCTGAGCTGGATCTCCATGAGGACGTGGTGCTGCCGCCCACTGCCTCCCTGTGTGCGCCACGAGCTCTGGGGCCGGCTGGGGCCGGAGCTGCGGGAAGGGGAGCCCCTGGGGCCCGAGAGGCCAACTTTTGCCCTGGGAAGGGAGACAGGGGACAAGCTGACAGAGGTACCCCTTCCATCTCCTTTCAGCCTGGGTAAGGGACCCAGCTCAGCCCCGGGAGGTGGGTGGGGCAAGGGTGGATGAAGAAATGCAGGCCATGGAGAAGAGGATCTGGCTTAGGTGACCAGGTGCTGAACGGCTGAGTTGGACCAAGCCCAGGCCCCCATCTGTGGGTGGGCATGGCCTCTCTGCCACCAGCTGCCACCCACACCCCCTCCTCCTCACCTGTGGCCGGGGTGGGGGCCAAAGTCTCGGCCGCCATAGAGGTGCCAGACCAGGGAGACCTCGCGAAGCACCACGCGGCTGCTGGGCACTGGGAAGTGGGCGGGCGCCCGCAGCAGGTCCGTGCTGCCCAACGGCCGGGAGAAGTGCCCATCGTGTATGACGATGGGGCCTGGATGCAGCTGCGTCACCACGGGCTCCCCATCTCGGGGCTGCGGTGGGGGGGAGGGGCCCGAGTGAGCAGCCGGGTGCAGACAGTCCCGACCCGGGGCTTGCCCTGTCTCTCCCTCATTGTCACATCGTCCTCCCAGCTTCTGACATGAGATGACCCTCTGGGCCACCATCCCCAGAGCCTGGGTCTGAGTGGCTGTCCAGGAGGACCTCCATGCCCTTGCTCCTGCCCACCCTGGCTCCCTGGGACCTGGCTCCTGCTGGCACGGGACAGAGTTCAGACATTCCCCACTGGCACCTGGTGCCAGAGGTCAGTGCCCTGGAAGCCAGACAGATCTCCTCACCCTGCCACCAACTGCCCCCTGTTCTATCCCCCACATCCCTCTGCCCAGGACACTAGCCTTCCCTCCTCCTCTGCAATGCAGATGCTCTTCAAAGCCTGGGGCCAGGGCTGCCTCCCCAGGGAGGCTCTCCTAGCCCCAGCGTGGACCCAGCACAGAATGGTGACGGCCTGCTGCCTGCCTCGCTCACAGCAAGAGCTCTAGAAGGGCTGGGCTGCCATCACCTGAGCTTCTATCCTGCCCTCCACCCCCGACTCCAGCCTGGGCCAGGCCTCTACACACCGGGATGCCCAGGCCAGGGGCGTCGAGGATGCAGAACTCATCACTGTCCAGGGTGTCTCCATCCACCTCTTCTTCTTTGTCCTCTGACTCAAAGCTGCTGGCGGGGGCCCCAGCAGATGGCAAAGGGGGCTGGGCCCCGCTCCGTTCACCTGGGAACAGGTAGACTGACACGGGTGAGGCCTGAGGGAGGGGGCTGCCTGTGGGAGAGGTCAGTGTCAGCGGAGGCCGGCACATTGTCTGCTTGTGCCCACTGGTCCCCAAGCCCCCACCACCCACCTGATGGCTGGGCCAACTCCCGCAGGCTGCGCCCAGAATCCAGGAGCGCATCGGCCAGGTCCCGCTGGTTGATGAGGGCTGTCTCCACGTGGGGGCAGGAGGGCAGGGAGGCAGGGCTCTCCGCAAGCTGGGCCAGGTGGCGAGGAGAGAGCAGTGAGTGGCGTGAGGCAAGGACAGGCCCCGGGGCTCCCCCAACCCCAGGCCCTGGGAGCCATGACAGGGGAGGGGGCCTGGCCGAGCTCTGGTAGCCTGTGTGGCCAGGCCTCACCTGTACCTTCTGGCCGGCGATCTCCGTGGGGCTGGGGGGCCGGGGTGGGGGGTGCAGGTCGCCCACGTTCATGACGTACTGGAGCAGGTTGAGCAGCAGGGCACAGGAGTCGGCACAGGTGTGCATGTGCACCACGTTGTTGGAGCAGCGCAGCTCAAACAGCGGCTGGCTCTGAGGCGGGCGGGGGAGGGGGGTCAGCGCCGGGCCCACTGCCGCGCCGGCCTGCCCGCTCTGCCCGGGAACCACAGTGTGGGTCTGTCCCCCACACTCCACACCAGCCCTTTCTGAAGGAAAGGATGGTTATTCTGCCCAACAACCCCACTGAACAGGTGAGCAAATCAAGGCCATTGAGTGAAAGGGAGGTAGCCCCGGGATGCCCGGGGAAGCGGGAGCCACCCCCAGGCAAAGGGCTTCTTCACCACACCCCAGTGAGGCAGAGCCTGCTATCCCTATTTCACAGACAAGGATACTGGGGACCCAGGAGAGTGGTCTGACTCCGAGGCCCTGTTTGTCTCCAGGCTGCAGCTGCCCTCTGTGGTGGGGCCAAAACCCATCATTCATTCACTCATTCATTCAGCAAACACACAGGGACACCCTTGATGGCCTGGCCCTGCCCAGAAAGTGACAGGCATCTTCCTGATTATGACCTGTCCCAGGGCTGGAGAGCAGAAGCAAGAAAGCGCTTGGGGAAAGGGTGGCCCTGAAGGCTCCCTCTGGCTCTGGGGACCCGGGGACAGACTGCACTCACCAGTTTGTCCTCGGTGCTCCCCTTCCAGGTTTTGATCACCAGCTCCAGGAGGTCAACGTCCAAGACACAGACATAATCTGCAGCAGAAGGCAGGAGAACGTTCCTGTAGCTTCCTACACCCAGCCTCTGCCCACCACCAAAGGGAGTCTGGGGCTTAGCTGGGCAGAGTCCTTGTGTGTGCACACACGTGGATGGGAGAGTTCCAGGCTTAGCTGGGCAGAGCTCTCGTGTGTGCACATGTGGGGAGAGTCCCAGGGCTTAGCGGGGCAGAGCCCTCGTGTGTGCACACGTGGGTGGGAGAGTCCTGGGGCTTAGCTGGGCAGAGCCCTCGTGTGTGCACACGTGGGGAGAGTCCCAGGCTTAGCTGGGCAGAGCCCTCATGTGTGCACACGTGGGTGGGAGACTCCCGGGGCTTAGCGGGGCAGAGCCCTCATGTACACACACGTGTGGAGAGTCCCGGGGCTTAGCTGGGCAGAGCCCTCGTGTGTGCACACGGGGAGAGTCACAGGCTTAGCTGGGCAGGGCCCTCATGTATGCACACACGTGGGTGGGTGCTAAGGGCCCAGCCAACTGCTGGTTGAGGGCAGCTGGCTGCTCTGGGTGTCGTGGGGTCCCTGCCCACCTCGCCGGAGATCCAAGGCCTCCACCTCACACTTGTCGGACAGGTACAAGGCAGAGTTGTCGAGGATGAACCTGGTGGGGAACAGGGCTGAGAAGGGCCCAGAGCCACAGCACGCTGGGACTCCCAGAGGCAGGGAGAGCTGGCAAGGGACCCCTGAAGGCCCCAAGCCCACAAGAAACTATGCAATGGTCCTTCTTGGGCCTCAGTGTTCTTGTCTGTACAATGGGAAGAACGGGCCCAGTATCCAATACACAGGCCCATAAGCAGTAAGCACTAAGTGCATGTAGGTTTGGCATGGGGCGACACTTAGAGTTCCCAAAGTTCTTCCAGCTCCACTGCCTCATCTGGGCCTCACAACAGCCCTGGGAGGAGCGTATCCTACCCCCCACCACAACATTTACTGTTTTTTTTAAAAAATAAGTTCTTATTTTAACAGTAACATAATACAAACTCCTTTAAGGTATTTTAGAAAGCAGCAATAAAAAAGAAAATTAAAATCACTCAGAGTCCCTAACCCCAAATTCTAAGAAAATCACCCTACACGTCTCCTTCCAGACTCTTCTACACAGCTACACACAGAGGTGTATGCAGACACTCCCTTGGACACACCTTTTGTTAACTTATGTCATTCTGCAGTTTTCTACTAAACACGGTACTATGGCATTTTCCCACGGTCTTCAACGTTTTTCTTCGCTTGACTTTAGCGACTGTGCAGTATTCCACCCACTGGGTGGGTTGTATTTATTATTTGCTCGCGTTAAAATTTGGGGGCATTTAGGTAAACTGTTTATACGGAGTCCTGGTGGCACAGTGGTGAAATGCTCATCTGTTAACCGAAAGGTCAGCAGTTCAAACCACCAGCCGCTCCGCAGCAGTCTGCTTCCGTAAAGATTACAGCCTTGGAAACACTGTAGGGCAGTTCTATTCTGTCCTATAAGGTCGCTGTAGGTCAGAATCAACTCGACGGCAAGGGGTAAGTTCTGACTGTTTTAAACTCTACTACCAGTACCAGTTGCAATCGAGTGGACTTCAACTCATAGTGACACATGGATGTCAGAGTAGAACTGTGCTCGATAGGGTTTTCAATGGCTGCTTTTTTGGCAGTAGATTGCCACGCCTTTCTTCCGAGACCTCTTAGCAGTTGAGTGCGTTAACCATGTGCACCACCCAAGGACTCCAAATTATACTACAGAGGCATGTTCCACCTCTCTTATCCTCGTATCCTTAGGACAGCCCCCAGAAACGAGAAACCAGAGACAACCAACGCTTTTTCTGGCTCTGTTTTGAAGGGTCCAGCTGCCTTCCAGGAAGGCGGAACCCATTCGCATTCCTGGGGAAGGGCTACCACCCGGATATGCAGGAAGGCTTGGAGAGAGGCCCAAGGGCACACAGCAGTGAGGCAGCAAGCCTGGGGCAGTGGCTGCTATAGCCTCGCTGGGGCTGGGCTAGGCCAAGAGCGTGCGGGCAGCCTGCTTACCTGAGCAGGAAGGTAGAAGTGTCCATGATGATGTTGCTGGAGAGCGTGAAAGTCTCGGCGGTGATGAGGACACGCACAGGGAGGTAGAGCGGCCTGGGGGTCACACTTGGGCTGGAGCAGGCTCCTTAATCCTGAGAGCCTGCCCCCAGCCCCCAGCTGGCCTAGCCCGGGTACCTGTAGTCCACAGCGCAGGAGAACAGATGTGTGTGCAGGACCGTGATGACCGTCGGGGGTAGGTAGCCGAGCACTGGGTCATCCAGCACGTCTAAGAACTCCAGAAGCTTTGGGGGCCAGGGCAGGAAGGACATGAGGAGAAGGTAGCCTCGTCCCCTTCCAACACCTGCCTGCCCTAACCCTGCTTGGGCCCCACCTGCCACACAGCAACACAGCCCCACTGCCCGTCAGCTGCCCACCACACCCCTGGCCAGGCTCCAGCCCAAGGCCAGCTCTAGCTCAGTCTGTGCCCCTCAGGGTGGCCTCCTCCCAGCCAGAGGTCCTGCCCAGCCACGCCAGAAGCCCAGGGCTCACCTGCGAGTGCCAGCTCTGCTCGGGAGGGGACACACAGTGGCGCAGGGTGGCTCTGTGCAATCGCAGCGTCACTAGGAACTCCTGGGCGGGGGCGGGGGGGAAGGTGCAGTCAGGGCAATGGGGTCGCCCTGCCACACTCCAGGGAAGCAGTTGCCCTTGCTGAGTGGGTGGGCGGCGAGCAGGGACAGCCATACCTTGACGTTCTTGCGGGGGTCCAGGTGGATGCGTACCGCGGTAGACAGCATGTGGGGGGCCCGGCCCTGGCCCTTTTGGGCCGAGGTGCCCTGCTCGATCACCCCTTCCTCCGAGGGGTAGATGGTGGGGGTCAGATGGGCCGGGGGTGTGAAGCTGGGCACTTCCAGGCTACTGGGCAGCAGGTAGTCATCCATGGCCGCTGGGGAGGGAGCTGGTGAGCCCCTGCCGGGCCAGCCAGCCCCACCAGCCAGGGCCGCCTCCCTCCCGAAAGTCCCCTGCCCTGACCAGGGACCCTCAGCCCCCAGCCCTCACACCTTGGTGGTAGAGCGTCGCCTTCTCGGCTTCCAGGCAGAAGTAGCTGAGCCCCGGCTGGCCAAGGTGCTGGGAGACGCTGAAGAGAGTGCTGTGCTCCAAGTCCAGGACCAGCTCCCCATGAGTGGCCTCAAGCTGCTGCCCACCCTCGCCCTGTGGACAGAGCACCGGCCTGGCCAGCTGGCTCAGCAGCTCCCAGGCCCTCAGTGTATGAGGGGCTGCGTGGAGCCCTGGCCTGACTAGGGTCAGCTCCAGCCTCAACCAGACTCCGTGGGAGGCCCTCGGCAGCACCTCCCTCTTGCCAAATGGGGGTAGAACAACGCCTGCCCCACCTGCCTCATGGGGACCAAACGATGATCACTCCAACCCCAGGGCTAGCACAGTGCTGACACATAGCAGGCGCTAACGAGTGGGTTACAGATGGGATGTGTGGGCTGCAGGGGGCGGGGGCTGCTGCCGGCTGGACAGGCAGCCTGCCCAGGCCCGTGTTCCTGCCCTCCCGACTGGAGCTGCTCACACCATCTTGCTCTCCTGTCAGTGGGGGCGCTGGAGTTAGGGGCTCCCCCAACCCAGGGCTTCCTCTCCTCCCGGCGGCCCGGGAGGCAGGCCCAGGCATCTGTCAGAGGAACGCTTGCTCACCTTGCTCTCACAGAGGGCAGTGACCCGGCCCTTCAGCACTGTCACCAGAGCAGAGAAGGTACTCTGGGAGTGTGGGCTCGGGGGCTCAGGGGCGGGGGCCTGGGGGGTGGCCGGTGCCCCCACTGAGAAGAAGTGGGCATCCTCGTCCTCTGAGTCTGAGTCTGGGGGGAGATGAAGGCAGTGGAGTGGGAAAGAGATCTGGGGATCCCTGGGTCCCAAGCTCCCTGGCCCCACCGTGGCACCCCCATACCCAGCTTGAAGGCTGACTTGCACATCTTGAAGGGGCTTGGGAAGCCAGGGGGGTGCGCGGTGGGGCCAGGTGTGGGGAGCAGGTTGGCAGGCTCCCACATGAGCAGGTCGTTGTTGATCCTGAGATGGGTGGGGGGATGGGTGAGCGAGGCCAGGCCGGCCCCTTGCCCCCACCCCACGTGCCCCGTGTCCCCACCTGTTATAGATGCTCTCATAGATCTCCTTGCTGGGCAGGAAGATGTGGGTGCTGGGCAGGGTCACTTCCAGGCTGCAGCGCGACAGTGCCAGGGTCCGGCTCTGGAATGCTCTCATCTCGTCAGGGTCTCCAGGAATCACCATCTGGACATGGAGTAGGGAACCAGAACTTCAGCGGGAGGAGATGTGGAGCTGACGTCAGGCTCCAGAATCAGAGAGGCCCAGGCTTTCGTCCTGCCCCCCGGTGCTGGGGATGTGGACCGGCCTCACGTGTAGTGCTGACTGCACACCATCCCTGTGCTGAGGGCGTCAAGTTCACTGCTTCTTTAGTCTTCATGACAGCCCTGAGACACAGATCTTTACACCCATTTTACAGACGAAGAAACTGAGCACCAAGAAGTTAGGTAACACCCCAAAATGACAGAGCCAGAGAGTGCAGGGCTGGGCTCAAACCTTCATGCCCCTCACACAATCCGAACCACCTTCAAACAACAGGATCCCGAGGCCCCAGTGTACACTGTCCACAAAGGGCAAAGGAAGGACGGGGTCCTGAGAGTCCCGACCAACGACCCTGCTCTCCCAGGGGCCTCCCCTCACCAGTGTGCCGATTCGTTGCCCTGTGAGCAGAAGTTTCTGAAACCTACTGACCCAAAACCGTGGAAGAGAAGAAATCCACTGTGCCCCTCCAGGTGGTCCTGCTCCCAGCCCACAGCCACACAGGTGGCTCCCCGGGCAGAGCTGGAGGCCCAGGGATGAGGCAGGGCGGGCCTCACCTCCTCGGTCTCATACATGGTCCTCTTGGAGGAGAAGGGCGAGGGCTCAGGCTCCCGCAGCTCACATGGGCTCTCGAACGCTGACGCCTCCAGCTCCTCCCCCTTGTCCAGCGCCATCTCCCACTGTGTGCTGCTGTGCTGCGGGTTCAGGGTCACCACTACCCTGCTGGGGCACAGGCCTGTCACTGGCCTGCAGGGCCTCCCACTGCCCCCACAGCAGAGCCCCCCTCCTGGCCACCCCTCTGGGAGCAGCCACTTACTGGGGCAGGAAGTACTTGCGCCCAGGGCCTCTGGGATCCAGGGCTTTGGAGACGCGCAGGCAGGGGATGGGTGGCTTCTCTCCATCTTCATAGGTGCCTGGGGGGACAGGGAAGGGTGCTCACCACTGCCTCCTTCCATGCCAGGTCGGGGTGGTGTAAGGCTGAACCCACAGTGGTGAGTGCTCTTCACACAGACCTGTGCCCCCTCCCAGCCCACGGTCTGCAGTGGCCCAGGGACAAACGGACGCTCTACCCACTGCCCAGAGGAGCCAGGCGAGGGTGGTCCCCCCAGTGGGATTCAGGACCCCAGTGGCCTGGCCCCTGGCCCAGGTGTTGTCCCCAGCTGGCTCTTACCGTGCAGGTCGGAGCAGGTGAGTTCCAGGCGGGTGGCGGCAGGAGGGCCAGGTCCACTGCTCAGCTCCGACCGGAACTGGGGCTCACTCAGCTCCAGCCGCAGCTGCTCGGCCCGCACAGCCCGGCCAGCCCAGGGGTCCCGCTCAGGCCGCAGGTCAGCGATGGGGAAGCGCAGCTGCAGTGTGGCCCGGGGTGCCGAGAGCCACACCACTGTCCGTGTCTGCTGCTCAGCTGCCACCGCAGGCAGGGACTCTGTCTGTGGGAGGGTGGGCGTGGGGGTCAGAGCTGCCTGCCAGGGCCCCCCTGCACTGTGGTCAAGAGCCAGAGGACCTGTACCCTACCCTCGCCCGGCACTGCTGGGCATCTCACCATCAGGCCGGTGGGCGGCTCAGGGGGCATGGTGGCCAGGCACAGCAGGGCAGCAAGCCGGTCCAGGGCCCCCAGCTCTACATCTGCCTGGAAGTCCGCCAGCTCCAGGGCCAGCTCCGAGTGGCAGTGGCAGGCGGCCTGGTGCCGGGGTCGGCTCTGTGCATGAGGGTGCTCAGGTCAGCGAGGGTTGAGGAGTGGGGGAGGGCAGGGTGGGAAGGGGTGCCCCTGAGCAAACACAGACACAAACACAGAGCCCTCCCAGGTAGCAGGGAGAAGGGGGACCCAGGAGGGGCTGGAAGCTCCTCAGCACCCTGTCTGATGCAGACAACCTCGCTGGTTTCTTTATTGAGAGGACTCTTCACTTACAGCCTTGGAGGCCAAGCAGGGGTTGGACAAGGAGGCCAGCATGGACCAGGGCACAGGGGTGCTACAGAAACGTGCCAGGGCCCATGGGAATGAGAGTTTGGTCTGCGTGGAGCACAGGTAAGGGGGACAGGGGTGGGGAGCAGAGCAGAGGGTGGCAGGGGCCCGGGTGGGGGCCGCCCAGGATAGGAAGTGACTGACAGACACCAGGCCTGGAGTGGAGGGGGTCACCTTGGGCACCCGGCGCAGGGTCTGTGTGTAGCGCAGGTGGGCGCAGGGCCGAGCGGAGGCCTGGGAGCCCAGGCTGCTGGGGAAGCTCAGGACCTGGGACAGGACAGGGAGGTGGGCAGGGTCCCAGTGAGGCTGCGGCCTGGACCTGCCCACCTCCCACCCGCCTCCAGGCCCTGCTGTGCGCACCCTCGCCTGCCCTCACCTCCGTGTACTCAGGCTCTGAGGCGCCTCTGGGCCACAGGCACTCTAGCACCTCGAGCTGCCCAAAGCACACTTCCGTGCTGGTAGTCCGGCGGCCCCTGATGCCCGTCCGGAGCTCCCAAGACAGCTGTACAGCCGTACCCGTTAGCCTATGGGACAGAAGACAGGCATCAGAGGGCGGGCTTGGGGGGCTCGGGTGTCTCTCCTCAGGCCCCAGCCTCGGGCTTGTACCGGACGTGGCTACAGGGACAGGCCTTCTGGAAACGCGGCCGGAGGTGTTGGAAGTCGCGGGAGCCGAAGGGCCCATCCTTGGCGACATCAAACTCGGCAAAAAAGCGGGTGGTGAGATCAGGTGGTCCGGTGTCCGGGGCGGACGTTTGAAGCAAGGTCAGTGTCACGCCCCCCAGGGTCATCTTCAGCAGCGAATCGGGGCGCAGGGTGTCCGGGAGGGGCGTGGGGGCCACCTTGCCTAAGGGGACAGAGGCTTCACCAGGGGCTCCCCAGAGCTCTTAGGCACCCCAGGTAGGGTGATGGTTGACGCCGGGCTGCGGGATGGGAGAAGCCCTGGCCCGCTGGACTGTGGTGGGCTGAGCCTGCCCCACTGTGTGGCTCTGGCGGGGGCCTGGACAGGCAAGGGACTCAGAACCTTGAGCACCTATGGCAGGCGCTCTGTCCAGGCTCAGTTTAACCCCTCGAGGTTGCTGGGAGAACTGGACGTGACAAAGCAGAGAAGACCCTCAGCCCAGGTCCCAACACAGTGAGTGCTCAGAATATGCGGCCCGGCGAGATCAAAAGACCTTATTGTCCCCTTTACTGAAGGGGAAACGGAGTCTCAGAGCATGTGATGGGCCCCTGAGCACTCTGGCTCTGTCCACGGCATCACCAGAGAGCCACGTCACTGGTAGTGGACTCCAGGCATCCCAGAGGCCTCCCCCATAACACACAGCGAGGCCTCGTCCAGCCCTTCCTGCCCTGGACCACCACCCCACGGGCCCGACTCACTGGCTGGGCGGGCCTGGGCCGAGAGCCGGCGGGGGGCCATGTTACTGTACACAGAGGAGCTCAGGTCCACGTCGGAGAGTGAGAGCTCAGAGAGGGCGGAGGTCACGCTGCTTGTCAGGCCAGCCATGGAGAAGAAGAGGTCTGCGGGCGAGGGCGAGGGTGTCAGGGCGCTGGGCTCAGCACCACCATAGCCACCTGCCACACCCGGGTCTGGCCCCACACCCACCAGTGCTGTCCAGGTTGACAAGGGGGTCTAGGCTCAGGGGCTCGGCCCCGGCCCCTGCCTGCAGCTGCTGGTTCAGGTCCTGCTCAATCAGCCACAGGTCCTCGACACCCAGTGGGCGGCTCTTGTTCAGCTTGTCAGCCAGGCCCTCGGGGTCTGCAGGAGGGCACTTTAGTCCAGCTGGCCCACCCCACCTTGGCAGCCCCACCCCTGGAACACCCAGAGGCCTCACCTGCAAGGCTCATGGCACCAAACAGTTCCTGGAGCTGCTGGAGCTGCCGCGGGGTCAGGAGCAGGTGCAGGGAGCCCAGCTGTCCAGCCACCTCCAGCTGGGGGGACAGGGGATGGCAATGGAGCCTGCACAGGCCACCCAGGCCTTCTGCAAGCCACCAGCCACCTGCCCTCCCGCTAGGGAGGCTGGATGCCTGTTGCCAGGTCAAGCTCTGCCACTAACTTGCTGTGTGACCCTAGCCATAAAACTTGACCTCTCTGAGCTTGTTTCTCCAGCTGCCAAGGGGCAGTAATTCCCCCCACTCAGTGCCCTCCCCACCCCCACCGACCTAGGCAAGATCTGCACTGCTGAGGGGAAGCCTAAGACCTGGCACACGCCTTCCTCCCACGAGCCTGGGGGCCCACCTTGGGGCCTGGAAAAGCCTCGTTCTGCTTCAGCTTCACTGTCAGCTCCATGTACCCTGAGCAGCTGCCAATCTGCAAAGGGGGCTTTGGGGGCTCTTCCTGGGAGGCAAGAGGATATGGGAGAGAGTCGACAAAATGGAGTCAGTGATGGCAGGTGATCAGAAGGGATGAGGGAGTCCAAGGGGTCAAAGACCAGACAGGACAGGGATTAGAAGAAGCAGAGGACTATGGGAGCAGGCAAGTTGGAGAGCCCGGGAATCAGGCCTCCCACCTGTGGGGGCAGTTCCTCGAAGTGCAGGCGGACCCCCGCCAGCTGCAGCAGCTTGTGGAGGAAAGCAGGCGGCTGGTGCACATCCACTGGGGGTGCTTGGCTTGGGTCCCGCACGGCCTCATCACAGTACTCCAGCCTGGAGAGGGAAAAACTCAGCTCTTCCCCAGCCCCGCAGCCCTGAAACACCTCTCTCCAGACACTGTTCTGTCTGGGGGCTTGGGGTCAGGGCACCTGCAGAGTCTGCCCCTCACACTCAGCGGTCCTGGGCCACCCACCCAGCTTGGGGCTCAGGCCAGCCCTTGCTCCTCAGACTCCCAGTGCCTAACCCCCCCCCCGGGGGCCCCAGCCACCACTCTAGGTTCACGACACAGCCACAGCCCCCACCCTGGAGTTCCACCCAGACCTGCCCTCCACTTCCCAGGATCCTAGGCTCAGGGTGGGGGCAGGGCCATTCTGCAGCCCCCACAGCCCCTTCTCATCATGCCAGCCACCCAGCCCAGCTGGCACCTACCTCTGCACGAGGACCTCCACTGCCATGCCACGTTCCTGGTCCCCCAGCGTGTGCTCTACCCTCACGATGGTCTCCAGGAAAGTTACCTTGATCCTCCGCAGCACTGAGGGGCGAGGGGGCAGGTCTCAGGGTCAGACAGAGCAGCGGCGGGGTGGGACTTGCTGTGCCCTGGGGCCCCGTCCTGGGGCCATGGGGGTGGGAGGCAGGGCCACTCACCAGTCTCGATGGTCTGGGCGAACATCTCTAGCCCCTCCAGGGGCTGGGGCAACTCCGAGGGCTCGGGCAGCCCATCCCGCAGGCACTCCTGGGCCAACTGCAGGCTCGTGCTCATGCACGAAGCCCAGCTCTGGGAGTCGGCCGCCCCTGGGCCTGTGGGTGGAAGAGGGGCTCAGGGCAGGCAGGCCCATCAGCTCCCGGCAGCCCAGGCCTCTCCCCGTTTGCCACCCCCCTCACTGTGCCCTGTCCTCCCGCCCTGACCTGGGCCCTGGCGGGGCTTCAGGGTGAGCTGGAGGCCGGACACGAGCACAGTGCAGTGGTCGGTGAGCAGCGCGGCCCAGGGCACGGCCACCTCGATGGAGCCCACGAAACCTTCCACCAGCTCCAGCGGCGACGCCATCGACTCTAGCACCTCGTTCACAGACTGGGAGTGGGAGGGGCAGAGCTGGCTCAGAGAAGCCCCAGAGCTGGCTATCTCTCTGGCTGCTGCCCCCCTCCTCCTGGCTTCCCCTGCCACCTGTGTCCACGCCGACCCCTCAAACAAGCCCGATCTTTCAAGCTAGCTCGCATCTTTCCTTCTCCACTCATTTCAGAAATACTGCCTGAGCACCTTCTACGTGCTGGACACCGAGGTTATGCAAGTACGTAAAACATCTGCATCCCCCCTCAGGGGTCAGAGTGTACGAGGAGGGGAAAGGGTGCTTGGGAGGCGGGGTGGGGCCCCTAACCCAGCCTGGGCAGTCAGTGCGGGGAGCTGAAGGATGAAGAGAGGAAGCCAGGCAGAGGAGCTGCACGGTGGTGTTCCAGGCCGGGCAGAGAGCACGGCGGCACCCCCTGCCCCGTTCACTCTGGGCTAGGGCACAGAGCTCAAGCGGGAAGAGTGCATACGAGGCAGGCAGGGGGCTGACCTGTACCCCTCTCTGGGGCACAAGGTTGAGCCTCTAGTTAAAATGTCTGTTGGAGTCGGACCCCCTGCCTCCTATGTGTGAGCCCAGTGGCACCGTGGGGTATCACCCAGAGGGGACCTCAGTGAACACCGGGTGGATCTGTGAATAAATAAACACACGCAGGGCCAGATGGTCCCTTGGGATCAAGTCCAAATTCCTCACCCACAGATTCAGATTGGGAAACTGAGGCCTAGAGAGGGGACGTGACTAAGAAAAGTCTAGTCACCAGTGTACTGAGAGGACTGAGACAGGGACCCAGGCCCTTCTCCTCGTCCCCTCCTAGGCTCCCCAGACATTGGCTTCTGGGGTCTTCAAGATGGGGGCTGCAGGCCAAGGAGCTGGGGGCTGGGACTAGTTATCAAGAAAGCTCCTGTGTTCCACCTGGGCCCAGCGGCTCCCCAGAGGCCAGCCGGAAGGTGGCCTAACTAGGAGCCAATTCAGTCCTCAACTGGGCACGGCAGGGCAGGGTGGGAGTGTTTTGGGAAGCAGAAAGGGACAGGCCAGAGGTCTTTCTGGCCAGTCTAAGAGACTGAGGTCAGAGGTCAGAGAAGCCCCCTGCCCTGGAATTCACAGCTAAGAGGCTCCTGGGAGCTGCCCCCAACTCAGGGCTCCCTCACCCACATTTGCTCAGGAAGGCCTGGCCAACCCCCAAAGCCCAGCTCCTCCTACCCAGAGTTGCAGGCCTCCTCATGCCTGGCCACCATGTGACCCGTCCTGAGGCCAGCACCCCCGTCCTCCGTCTGCCTAGCCAGAAGACTGTGAAGCTCCTGACCCCAAGCCTACCCCAGCTGCTCTGATCAGGAGGGTTGCCCCAGTGCCAGCCCTGGGCTGGGGCCTCTAATTGGTGGCTCCTTTGCAACTTGCCGTGAGTCACAGCCCCTCACCATCCACAGCCGCAGGCCTCTGACCCAGACTTATGTCTCCTGGCCACCCAAGCATCTCCTTTGGCCTCCTCCTGACCAGAGGCCACGCCTCTCCGCTTCCTGAGGGCTCCCCTCTAGGCCTGGATGCTGACCCCCAACTCCCTCCCTCAACCCCGTGTCTCCGGCCTGCTCTCCCCAAAGCAGGAAGCAGACAGCCAACCTTCACACTAGGTGTTGATCAACATGGGAGCTGACGTGCTTGTTGACATCCACATCCGGAGGGAACCCCACCCACCCGGCCCCCGGGATCACAGGGTCAGGAGGTCAGGGCACTTTTCCCACAGGTGCCCCCCCCCAGGCTCCAGAACCCTGCCAGCCTGCCCTGCTCAGCTGCCTCTGCCACTGGGCCCCAATTCCTCAGCTCCCTCCTTGTGCCCTCCTCAATCCAGCCCCTAAACTCGATGTGCCTTTTCTGGCACTCTCCAGACAAGTGACGTCCCCCTCCCCAGCCTCAGTTTCTCCTCCTGTGAAGTGGGGGCAAGGACCCCTTCCGGCCCAGCTTCTGGCTCTCTGGGATGGACTTGGGGAGGCCAGCCAGGGACCCTGACACCCGGAAAAGGCCGGACTTCCCGGCCTCGAGGCGCCCCGGGCCTGATCCTCCTGCCCAGCCCGTATCGACAGGGGCCTCAGGTCGCTGTACTCCCGCCCCCAGTGCTCTCCCGGGCTCAGGACTGGCTCCTTACCCAGGTCTCCAGGTGGATATCCCGCAGGGCCACGCTGCCCTTGTACAGATCGAGGCTCAGCTGATCCAGGCTGAGGTGCTCCTGGAAGAAGTGACCCAAGTAGTGTTGCAGGAGGTAGCGGCAGACCCGTTCTTTGACACAGTTCGACCATGGCCACAGCCATCGTGACATCTCGTAGACAGCCTAGCCCGGGCCGCCTCCGCCCTCCGCCCGCCCGCGAACCCTGTCCGGCTGCGCTGTTCACCAGAGCCCCCGGCTCTCCCCGCCGCTTCTCTAGGCGCCAGGCCGCGCCCCCGGGCCCCTCCAGCCACGCCCCCCGCGCTCACTGTCATTGGCCATTGCAAAGGGAGAGGCCTACTGATTGGCCGCTGGGGGCGGAGCCTTTGAGCGCGAAAAAGGGACTGGGCTCTCAGCATGATATAGTGCTCCCAATCATGATTTACGCTTGCGTAAAAGTATCGTGTGGGCGGACCTTTAACCTTCGTTTACAAACTCTGGGAAGGCTGTTGCTCTAGGTGCCAGTCCTACAAAGGAATGCGCATGTGCTGGTTCGTCCTACTACTTTCGGTAGTTGGAAAGAATTTAAAGGGACAGTGTCCCGTCAAACTTCGTTGAAAGCTTCCCCGAGGAATAAAGCCATTGTGAGTTCCGCAGCCTGTAACTGTGGAAATAATTCAGCCAATAAACATTTGCTTGTTACACAACGCCTGACCGTCCTTTATCTCATTAATCCTCACAACACTCCCTCGGGTAGGGCTCATTGTCACCAGGTTACCTAGGTTGCCGAGAACCCGTGACCTAGGAGGTCTTCAGCCCACTCCCTGCCACAGAATCTCAACGGGAGATTAACTGACCCTCCCTTCTCCCTGCAGTTGGTCAGGCCTGGGGCCCTCTTTGGAATAATAAGACCAGCTTCTCATATTTCTAATCCTAAAATCAATAAAGAATGGGTTCCTATTCCCTGGAGCATGGATTTGTTGTTTTCTGCACAGCCCTTGAGCTAGGAATGGCTTTAACATCTTTAAATGGTTGGAAAAGAAAGAAAAGAAAATTTCATGACACTTGAAAATTCTATGCAATTCAAATGTCCGTGTCCATAAATAAAGTTTTGGTGGAACCCAGCCACATCCCTTGGTTTAAGTATCGTCTAGGGCTGCTGTTTTGCTGTATGGCAGAGTTGGGTACTTCAGACAGAGGCTGCGCAAAGCCTAAAATACTTATTATCTGGCCCTTTACAGAAAAAGTTTGCCGACTCCTGCTTTACAAGGTTGGCCACACAAAACCTTGTGCATCATGGATGATTTACGGAAGATCCAAGACAACTGTGGTTCTGTCTTAACCTTGCTCCAGTCCCAGCCCTGGGTGGCCTTGGGCACATCACAGCTCCTCTGTGAGCCTCAGTGTTATCCCCTGTAACCTGGGGTTGCAGGAGTAGGGGGAAGAAACTGTGGAACAGCCTCTATGGGAATTTCAGGAAACACTGGGAAGGCCCCAGGCAGGGAGGCAGGCAGTTATGATGGCCTCTCAGAAAATGCTTGTGGTATGAATCTAGAGATCTGTCTGTTACCCATGACAAGCCAGAGGCAGTGTATTCATCAAATGCTTATTAGATTAATAATAATAAAAATAATACCAAAATCAAACCAAACCTGCCCCTCACCAGACGCTCACGAGGGAGGCACTACTAACATCCCCATTTTACGGAAGAGAAAACGGTGAGGCCTCATGCCTGAGTGCCTGTGGAGCAAGCACATGAGCCAGCACTTTTCCTCCTTGTCTCCTTCTAGAGAAAGGAAGTGGGGACGGAAGGGTGTATTCTTTGGGGGTCCAGGAAAAGTTGTCCTTGTGTGCAGTCTAGGAGAGGGTGACCATTCCCTGTGGTGGGAATGGGGTATACCAGTGAAAGACTGGGGACCTGGACCATGCCCAATTTCCAGGCCCCCAGTGCCCCCTCAATGAGGTGGACTCCAGGGTCAGGCTGTAACTTGATGACTGGTACATCTGTCTCTTAGGAGTTGGTGCCTGTGAGTCCACTCCTGAGCCCGAATCTCTCTATTGACAGGACACAGAGCAGTGTCTGCAACAAAGCAAAGGATTAAACCAGAGATGGGAGGGGGCACCAGGGTCCTTCCTGCCGCCTCCCCCAGACAATTCCTTCATCTTAGGAGCCTCCGTCACAAGCTGCACAGAAAACCAACTCTAAAGACATAGTCATTCCCCAGCCTAGCTCAGGGCTCGGAGTAGGAGCAGAATGAAGCAATAAAAAACATGGACAGGGTAAAGGGAACAATATTCTCTTGGGAGGGAAGGTAGTGTTGGCAACCTCACAGGGGTGTTTCTAGGATTAAGTCTCAGGCTCCCTTTCGGCCCATCCAGCTCTGCACCCAGCAGCTCCAACAAATAAACCAGTGCTGCATACTGCAGTGTTGTTGTCAGCTGCTGTCCAATTGGCCCCAACTCACGGTGACCTCATGGACAACAGAAGCAAACACCGCCCAGTCCTGCACCGTCCCCAAGATTGGTTGCAGATCAGACAGCTGTGATCCACAGGGTTTTCCTTGGCTAATTTTTGGAAAGGTGTGTGTCAGGGTTGTATCCTTTCACCATACTTACAGGCAAATAATCCAAGAAGCTGGACTATGTGAAGAAGAACAGGGCCTCAGGACTGGAGGCAGGCTCATTAACAACCCGCATTATGCAGATGACATAACCTTGCTTCCTGAAAGTGAAGAGAACTTGAAGCACTTACGGATGAAAATCAAAGACCACAGCCTTCAGTACGGATTACACCTCAACATAAAGAAAACAAAAACCCTCACAACTAGACCAATAAGCAACATCATGATAAACGGAGAAAAGATTGAAGTTGTCAAGGATTTCATTTTACTTGGATCCACAATCAATGCCCATGGAAGCAGCA